CAGCTCGCGGCCCCAAGCGGCGGGCCTCACCATGGCAACCGCAGACGTCACGGCTGTGGGACTGTAGGTCGCGCGAGGGCCGCCGCGCCCAGGGATTGGCTCCACCGCCGCAGCTGCGCAGGAACCCACCCTCGCCGGCGCCCCGACCCCCCTCGCACCCTCATCTTAACTCACAGCAGGGCGGGGGGGGGGGGGGTTCCCCTTCAGTTCTCCCCTTGGGTCTCGGGGTCTCCTAGAAACACGTGTCACTCCTCACATACTAGCCCACCCGAAGGGAGCATCCGTCTGTCCCATTATCTACTTTCTAAAGGAAACACCTTCAGTTCCTTCCATTATTTCCCGCGACATCTATCATGATGCAACTGCTATCGGCCTCCAGGTCTTATCTTGGAAAGCCTCCCGGGCTTGGAAAGGTGAGTACCAGAATGCCAGGCCACCGAGCGATCGGATCCGTGCTGGGATGCCAACAGTCATTCTAAGAATAATAGTATTTGGCCCTAACCGGTTTGGCTCAATGGATAGAGCATCGGCCTGCGGACTGAAAGGTCCCAGGTTCGATTCCGGTCAAGGGCATGTACCTGGGTTGCGGGCACATCCCCAGTAGGAGGGGTGCAGGAGGCAGCTGATCGATGTTTCTAACTCTCTATCCCTCTCTCTCCCTCTCTGTAAAAAAATCAATGAAATATATATTTAAAAGATAATAATAGTATTTGGTGAGTATCATGAATTAGGCACTTTACTAAGTGCTTTATATGCATTTCTATCAGTATATGAGGGAGGTATTGTTATTCTCATTTTCCAGGTGAGAACACTGTAGCTCAGGGACGCCAAGGAACATTCCTGAGAGTCCACAGTAAGGGACGAAGCCCAGTTCACACCCGAGCCTATCTGACTCATCACCTGTGCTTTATATCACAAGGCCACCCAGGCTTGCTCAGCTGTCAGTTACCTTGCTAGCATCACCCAGGCCTCTAGCTGCCGCAGGCCAGTTTACAGAGCTGGGCTGTCACTCAAGGTGTAGGAGCAGGAGTGAAGGCCGCCAAGTCAGCATTCCCGTGATTGGAGTAAGACAAGCAGGTGGCCAGAGTCTGATTATCATTCAAGAAGCAGAGCAGGGTTTCCCAGGATGAGGTTCAGGAGCAGAGACTCCATGGTGACAGTGAGGAGGCCATAGACACTTCTTAGACTCTGCATGGAAACAGCCAGACAGCCTGTCTCCTGTTACCAGAGGGAGCCCTGGACCATGCTCTTACTAGCCAGGTGATAGGACCAGAAAGTATTTAAAACATCAGCTGAAGCCAAAACCGGTTTGGCTCAGTGGATAGAGCGTCGGCCTGCAGACTGAAAGGTCTCAGGTTCGATTCTGGTCAAGGGCATGTACCTGGGTTGCGGGCACATCCCAGTAGGAGGTGTGCAGGAGGCAGCTTGATCGATGTTTCTCTCTCATTGATGTTTCTAACTCTCTATCTCTCTCCCTTCCTCTCTGTAAAAAAATCAATAAAATATATTTTTAAAAAAAAAACATCAAGTGAAGCAGTCACAGGAAAGAGTGAGGCCAGTGGTGAGCACGTGACCAGTATGAAAGTATGAATGAAAAGCTTTCGCAGTTGTCCTTTCAGGCTTAAAGGGAACAAGAAGTGCCTGGAAACCCCCTAATGGAGAGAGAAGCTGCAACGCCCCTGGGAGCCCAGTACCTCTTACTCTCATCATCATGTGGAACAGTGAAGCAGCAGCAGCCTGGCATCACCTGGGAGCTTGTTTGAAATGCAGAATTCCAGGCCATACCTCAGCCTACACAAAAAAAGCCAGATTTTTGTGTATGTGATAGTATACTATGTTAGTACAGTTTGGGTAATATGAATATATTTAAAATCTTTTTTCTTGAAATATTAATTTTTATTGCATATTAAAACTATTATATTTAAAATAGTTTTTCTTGAAATATTAATATTTATTGCATGTAACTATTATATTTAAAATCGTTTTTCTTGAAATAAAATGTTTTTAATAAAGTGAGGGGAAAATAATAAAAATAAATCAGAATTTAAATATTAACAAGGTCTCAGGTGACTTGTAGGCACATTAAAGTTGATGTAGACAGGGAAAAGGAGGAATTATCTTGACACAGGCAGACCTTCTTTTAAGACATGCCAATAGGAGTGACCTCTAACCTTCTCAAAGGCTGTACAATAGCCTGCAAAGCGCTACATGATGTAGCAAGTTCAGTCCCCACCCCCACCCCCAACTTACCTCTCTGAACTCTCTGACCCCACCCCTTCCAACAGCCTCCTTGCTGTTGTCAAACTCTAGGTAAGCTCCTGCCTCCTCTGCACTGGCTCTTCTTTTGCCTTAAATGCTCTCCACTCAGATATGGTCAGTCGCCTTAGCTGGCTACCTTCACACTTTGCTTCAGTGCCACCTTCTCCGTGACTAGCCAATGTAAAATGACCACCCATCCCCATCCCTCTTACCCTGCTCTACTTTTTCTTTTTTCATAGCAGTTATCACCTTCCAACACACGATACCAATCACTGTTTATTAGCTGTCTCTCTCCTAGAATGTCAGCTCCCTGGGGGCAAGGATCTTTGTTGGTTTTTGTTGTTGTTGTTCATATGTGCTTACAACAATGTCTGATACATGAAGAGTATTCATTGAACAATCGTTGAAAGAACCAATCAAAGAATTTTTGAAAAAGGGTTTATACATTGATTGTCTGAAATTCAGAGTGCTCCTTTTTTGCCCACAGAATCTATGTGATAGGTGGTTATATACTCAGATCAACACTGGAACCCTATTGAACTCATAATGTAGCAAAAAGGAAGTTATCTTTTGTTATGGATACCATTCAGGGACAGTTGTTAGGTGAAAATTTAAAATGATAAATTTAAGAAATTGAATTAGGGGATTAATCCAAGCATCACCTTCCATTCCTTTTGGAGGCCCTTTCATAATCACTCCTTTCCAAGGCCTTCCTGATCTTCCCAGACCATAATAAGCAGCTCTGTCCTTGATCTCATGGGGAATTCATTAACTGTAATATTCATTTGGCAATTAGACAGGAAGTTTGGTGCCAGTCCTTGTACAAAATTGCCCCTGAAGCTGAATAACCACAGTCTGGAACATTCTGTAAATCTCAGAAAATATGAAAACATCAACTGACGGAGCACATCCTTTTATAAACTGAAAAAATTGATGGGTTGGCCTACTTCTCAGAGCACACACAGCTTGACCAACCTCTGTTGTCCACAGCCTTAATCCAGCATCAGCATCTGCGTCATTTCACACCTGCCCGGGGCTAAGCCACTGCAGGATTAACATAGGCTGGACGCCTGCGAAACGATGTTTATTACACAATCTGCCTTGAGCCTTTTTTCTTCATGCCAGAGAGATAAGCATCACAGTATCTAGCATGGGCCTTGCACATTTTAGTCATTATAATGAAAGTTCACTTTTATTGTAAACTTTATACAGTGCCATCTTCTAATCTGATTAACCCCACAGCCACACCATTGGGGTGCAGTTAAAATTTGGTTACTGCTATACAACAAGTTCTCTGCTTTTCCCAAGGTCACACAGCTAATCAATGGTTTTAGCCCAAGCACACAGGCTCCTAACCACAAATCCGTGATGTAAAGTTATTGTTAGAGAAATGAAAATATCAAACTCTCCCTAGTGTGCAAAAATACCTTTCAATGTTCAAAAATTATATATATAAGTATGCAGACACATCCTATATTTATATACATACAAACACATACATCAGTTAGTCATGAATCATTTTTCCATGGGGTATATACCTGCTATGGTAATATTCACATAGGTGAGTTTAGTTTCAACAGTTTGGGAATAAAGACTATTTCCATTTGCACTGCATTTATCATAAGCATTCTGTGAATAGTATGAGAAAAATCAAGTTTACCATCATGAACTCATAAATCTGAGGGTGTTTTGACATTTTTCCAGTAATTAGAAGCCTGACTCCATAATATCAGCATTTAGTTGATTCTTTTATTATTAATTTTTTTATCCTCACTCAAAGATATGTTTTTATGGAGAGAGAGAGAGAGAGAGAGAGAGAGAGACATCGATCAGTTGCCTCCCATACACACCCCAACTCAGGATCAAACTCCCAACCTAGGTATGTGCCCTGGCTGTGAATCGAACCCACAACCTTTTGGTGTACGGGCCCATGCTCCAACCAACTGAGCCATCAGGTCAGGGCTAATTGATTATTTTATATGTGATATTTCATCAATAGCAAATGCTAAATACTCATAAAAACACTTTTCAAAATATGAGGATAACTAATCTTACTTTTGTCCTCTGAAAATTGTACTTCCTCCCTTCCTTTTAAGGTCTGTTTTCCTTGAATCCTAGAAATCAACAACTGGGGAAAAGACATCCCAGCTATCCAGCCTATTCCCCAGCCAAGAGCACAATATTCCCCACAGGCTCTGGTAGAGCTTTAAGATCCCAGACTTGACATTTTTAGTCGCAGGGCTTTTCTCTTTCCCCAAGGAGGTAGTTCAGTCTATTCTATGGCAGTGAGAACTGCTTACTTTATGGAATTTTGCCAACCAAGCCTCCTAGGTTATGGAGCATCATGGAAAAGAATGGGGTTTCATAGGGAATGTTTTCAAAGCCAAGGAGGAAGAGAAAAATCTGCCTTTTATGGTAAATTTCAAAAACTATTTAAACTTAACATTTTGAGAAATGTGCCTAGTTTTTCCCAGTTCCCCCCAAAAGGGCAAAATTTTGTAGAACACCTAGGTCATTTGGTTCATACCAT